CTGGAATATGGTGGCTACATTTAGTAAATGTGTTTAGACTACTGGTCATTTGGGTTACAGGATTGGCTTTTGTGTTTTAACATTTGAGAAAAACGGTAAAACCAATGAAAGATGGACAAGAAAAATTCAGAACCATCAGGTGCTCAGTTTAGAAAAAAGAGAAGAAGAGCAGAAACGATCAAAGCGGGAGTGTTCCCCCATGTGTTTACTAGTTCTTTGACCTACAACCCTGCAACTCTCCACAACTTCACACCACAAAATTTATATTATTGTTATCAACAAGGCTTTGAATTATACTGGACGAGATCTGAAGACCTGAAGGAACGAGTCTTTCTGCTTCTCGCTTTTCCCCTCATATACTGTACAGAAAATATACACTTGTTGTATAAATGTTTACAAAGATGCTTTAAAAACATCTTCCTGTCTGTTTTTCCTCCGTTTTTGTTTTTGACTCTCTGGATACAGTGTACAGTTTATACACATATAAACAGTTTCATTTTAGTGTTTCATATAAACAGTGCAACATAGTACCAGACAAACAGTCCTTTATTAAAATTTATTTAAAAACAGCTGATTTTAAATTCAGTTGGAGAATATTTAAACTGACAAAGATTTAAAATTAATTACACACATTTATACATTGGAGAAGTAAAAACACCTTCGTCAACAAGAAAAAAATCCTACTGTTTACATCTTATTTCTTTTGTCTTCACCTTCCCTTTTCTGTTACAATTCAGGATTGTGTTTTTCACACAGAATAAAAACCAAATCTGAGATTGAAAAACTGTTTCTGATCAGTCGAGAAATATGTCTGTGAAGGTTCTCAGTCACCCAGGTCATCGTAGTGACTTTAAGAAGTCCAGACGCTTTTCTTTCCAAGCTCCTTAGATCAGTCGAGAAACACAGACTGGAGGTCATCTACAAGTCAGACTGTTTTTACTGAATATGAAATGAAGAGAGATGTCTCCAAGGCCTCCAGTTACAACCTCCATAAGGTGCACTTGTGTCAGTAGTATTTAAAGCTACATTTAGATCATCAGAAATTAATAATTTTTTTTTGGATCCAGAACCATTCGGATCAATTGTTATGAAAACTGGTCACATGGTGGTGATATCGCCTTTTTCCAGGAATTAATTGTAGTGAAATGTTACTTAATTTCCATAACAAGAGACAGAAACACAAATGTATAGTTATGCAATGTAAGAAATTAAGCCTAAACACAAAATCTAAAGCCTGCAGCTCTCCTCCTCACAAAGCTTAACTCATCAACATCTAAAATGTCTAAATTTTCTGTTCCAAGGATTTCATCCATCAGTCTAAACATTATTAAAATGTGTATAATGGAACAAATATAATAGTTGATAATAGTAATGCAACAGAGTTTAAAGTAAAGTTCCTCTTTCCTATTTAAACTGTGACGCATAATAGAAACTGTTAAGTGCTCTTAAAAAATAGGCACCAAAGACAATAAGATGATTTTTTCAGGAGAATCAGTCTCATTCAACAACTCGGGGCTACAAACCAAGCCAATATATGTACAACATATCAGACAGTTTACCTGATATATTTAAGGTTCATAATATTTAAGTGAGAAAAAGTGTGAAATACTAATATGAGAATATTTCTCTGCACAGTAAGTTCATTATTCTGAGTCAGCACAGAGGTGGATACTAGAGTCAGGCTTCACTCTAAACCCAGCATATACAGGTTCAGTGAAGGTGGTGTTGAAGGTGTGCAGGTGGATCAGTTTATCAGAGGAGACACTGTAGAAGGACACAGTTCCTGCAGAGCAGTCCACATACACTGCTACTTTGTGACAGAGAGGTGA